CGGAAGAGGAGAGGAGCTAATTCTATCTATAGAAGGGAAACCATGAAACAATCCCTCCACTTCACCCTCCCCCCCCCCCCCCCCCCCAATCTCTGCTGGCCCTGGATCCTCACAGGTTTGCCTACTTTTACCAGGAGGCCTCTGCCTGCTCCAGGTCTTGAGCTGACACTCAGAGTAACATGATCTGTATCAAAGGGCTCCTCCCACTCAGCCAGGGTGGGCTATACTCCTGGAAGATGTGAGAAAGCATGGAGCAGAGAACAGCCATTCCATCTGAGGTCTCTCCTAGACCAACCTGTCTCTAATCAACCTGTTAACTGACCAATAACATATGAATCAGGTCCAACTTAGACCAACAAAAGAATGGCCCAGCTGAGCCCAACCCAAATTGCCAACCTGTAGAATTGTGAACTAAAAGAAGAGTTGTCACTTAAACCACTAAATGTTAGGATGGTTTATTACGAAGCAAAAGCTAACTGATTTACCTAAAAATTGAATAATCTTGACACTGTGCTCTGTAAAAAATAAAAATAAATAAAAAATCAAGGGAAATTCAGATCTCTAGGTTTCTATAGTTAATTTTCTTTTAGGCCACAATATTATTTCCTATAATGTTTTAAAAATGAAATCCGAAGGTTCATATCACAGATTCCCTTTCGGGTAGTGGCAAATGCACCTGAATCTTGGTTTTTAATTAGTGACAGCTTCTGAAATTATCTTAGAATCTCCCAAAGGTGTTTGCTTTGATCACACACCATTATCCCTCCGTGAACCAATATGCTTCCCTTTGTCAAAACAAACATGGGCTCCCACAATCATAAATGCACCAGGTAAGTGCAGTACCATTTTTAAGAGGCTTCAGACCCTCACAGATGATTCTGATCCAGGGAACCTTAAAATTAATAAACTGTGAAAGCTGTATCTTCAGTCCTTGTCGGATGAAAATGAACATTAATACCCTGCTGATGAGTCATTAACACATGTCAACAGTACGAAACAAAACAACACAGTTGCTTTCATTCGAAGAGGCCCTGTTAATTAAGTTGATAGTGCAAGTCAGAATGCTGAAACTCAGGTTTATGAGGAGTCACAAACCTGATTAGCTTATTTAATAATAATATTTCCATCGGCTATAGGGCATCTTTTTTTAAAAAACAATAACTAAAATAGTAAAGCGGGGTTTTACAGGGAAGAGAGAGAAAATACCAGCTCAAAAAGTCATCCCAGACATGTCTGCCTTCCTGGTACATGCTGTGAAAACATAGTTCCCAGCTCATTAGGGAAACAAAGGTAGGAGTGGAGAGAAATGTTAATTAGGCAGCAGCTCGGTTAGCTAAATTCAGAAGGGCACTATCATATGGACTAATGGAATAATCCATAAAATTTTAAACTCCAAGCAGGCAAGTGGCTTTTAAAGAAGCAAGCCAGTCCCCTTTCTCCAAAAGCCACAAACTGGAAACTGGGAACTCGATATCTGAGCAGTATGGCTCACTTCCCTCTGGAGAAATTGATAACCAGTGAGTGAAATTTGCAGAAATGAAGGGTTAAAGTTAGCTCTTACAGCAATGTTCTTATTATAATATACAACTAATGCTGAAATAGAAGAGGATAGACGAAACAAAACTGGGAATTCAGCTTAAGACACCAGAAAGTTAACTATAAGGTATTCATTCATAGACCTTAAAGCAATTGTTTTCCTTCATCCTAAGCAGCACCATTTACCCATCCTACTGGTAACTGGCATGTGGGTGGTTTCCATTTTACAAGCAATGCTGCTGTGAACTAGCTTGTATGTGTCTCTTGGTGCACAGGTGCAAGAGTGTGGTTCTCATTTTTTTTTTTTTAACCTGGGGAATTTTTACTAGCTATCGATGCCCTGGCCCCATCACAGGCCAACTAAATGACTGATTCAGAATATAGGGTGGCAAGGAGGAGGAGAAATGAGGGTTGTATACAATTGTGGGAAGATGGGGTGTCAAACATATTTTCAAACATCCTATATAATAAAAGTATAATATGCAAATTGACTGAATGGCAGAATGACCAATTGGTGGGGGTGGGGTAGGCTACTCACCAGCTGACTCTGTCCTCTGATCAGCCCAGCTGACTCTGTCCTCTGATCCTCCCACAGAGGGAGGCCTAAGCCATCAGTCAAACAGCCCCTGAGGGCTCCTGCACAGACTGGGCTGAGGGATCTGCCCCTAGTGCACAAATTTTTGTGCACCAGGCCTCTAGTTTAATATATAAATATTCAAATTTTACCAACTGTCCAAATTTTACCAAAATATTTGACATCTGTTTTATTTTCCAGTTGAGGACCCAGTTAAGATCTACTTCTTGCATTTAATTGCATGCCTCTGCTAACTTTTTAAATTTAGGACAGTCTCTACCTTTTCTCATGATGTTGACTTTTTAGAGACTCCAGACCAATTGTGTTATAGAACATCCCACATTCAAGACTATTTTCTTATAAGGACATTTATCTATTTCCTGTAAGCTGGAAGTTAGGTATAGAGACTTCATTAGATTCCATTTACACTTTTTTAGTAAGAACACTTGTAGGTGATGCATCACATCAGAAGACTCTTAATGTCAGGGTGCTGCCAGTGTTACTGGTACTAAGATTGGTCACTTGGGTAAGAGAGAAATTGCTCTATCTCTGCAAGATAAGTTTTTCTTAATTGAAATAAAGATGAATGGCCTCTACAATTCTAAATGATGAGCATGGCTCTCAAACTTGTCTCCCATGTCAGTGGGAAAAAATTGGGGCATTTGGAGTATTTCAGAAAATGTGAGGAAGCAATGATTGTCTTTAAGTACTTTCTTTCCTCATCTAAAAGCTTGAATGTGGAAATTAGCTATAGAATTTACTAAGTATCTGCTCTGTTTGGGACCCATTATACTTTATTTCATTTAATCCTCACTAACATCATAAGGTCATAATTACTCTTTAAAATTTTTAAAGGGAATCTGAGGCCCTGAGAGATTAAATCACAGTCACAAAATAGTGCAAAGCTAGCATTCAACTCAAGTTCATGTGATTCTAAAGCCTCTTCTCACAATGCTGTCTTTTCCCTCCTAACCCACAGCTCCTTTCCTAGAGGCCCGAAACCCTCAATGAGAGTCGCCAATCTAGCTGTCGCTCCTACTTGGTTGGAATCAGTCTCCCACCACTTTCTTAGCCCTTCTGACACTGTTCTCACCCCGGATTAAGCCAGTGGGAAAAAACTGCCAATATCCTCCAGGTAGATAGGAACCAGTGCTGCACTGACCATTATGGGATGTCTAAAATATCACCGAATGACCATTGAGCATCGGAAGTCATAGGCAACAGAGGCTATAAAGACATATGCCAAAGAACCACTTCAAAAAAGCAAACTTGTTGTGCTTTTTTATGAAAAAGCCAAATTCTGCTAACCCAAAAGGCACATTGGCCTTTGTTCAGAGCGGTCACCAATCATCTTGACAGCAGCATTCATCAGGAATTCTTGAACATCATGGCACCAACCCCCTGATGGTATCATAACTGAGTTTCCTTGTCCCCTAGTCTTGTCCCCAAAGGAAGCCAAGTGGTCACACTATGGCTGCAGAGCTCACGTGGGTGGACAATGTGATCCAGTGAAATGAGCCTGAGCTTTAGAGACAGGCCTGGGTATCAACCCTGGTTCTACCATTCTGCAACTGTATTATTTCGAGCAAGTTACTTAGCTTCAGCTTTGACATCTGTAAAATAAGGATCCCGATGTTCCCCTAAATGAATTGTCTGAAGGATGGTAGGAAATAACACATAAAGCTCCTGACACATATGTTTATTAAATAAGCTGAAACTAGTTTGGCTCAGTGGATAGAGCATCAGCCTGTGGACTGAAGGGTCCCAAGTTCGATTCTGGTCAAGGGCATGTACCTTGATTGTGGGCAAAGGCAAAATAATCATGGTATAACAAGTGCTATAAACTATGGGCACACAGTGGAAGGAGGCGTACATTGTCTAGGAAGATAAGAAAAGATTTACCAGAAGTGACATTTGAGTGAATGTTGATGAATGAGTGGCTGATATCAGGTTTCTCTTTAGGAGAAAACTATCTTTGATTATAAAAGTATTCTGATAAAGTTTGCCTAGTGAGCAAGCATTGGAAAGAGGCATTAAGAGAATACCAATCTTCTTTGCCTTAGAAACAAAAAGAAATTTAAGTGGTAGTGAAAAGCAGAGAAGAGAGAGCAGAGCCACACAACTAATAACTGGACCTTGTGGAGTGAACCAATATGTTAGACTTGCCAAAGGACCCAAAATCAGACATGAATAATAGCCTATCTTGATTTGTTTGCATTGCTATCAAGACCCCAACAGGGACAGAATTGTGCTTCCTGAGGACCATAAAAGCAGAGTTTTAATCAATTAGATCTAAATATCAAAGGGCAGAGTGAAATCCCTTATCACAGACTGAGAGAGAAATAACTCAAAAGGAGGGTAATTCCACACATGGGAATATGGTGGTAATGCAGAGCCAAAGAAGGTGAGGCTTGGGAGTGGCAAGAGCACAAAAGAAAAAGAAAATGTAGGACACACCCACCCCACACACCTTTAACTGCTCATTCCTGAGAGTAATTCATTTTGTGAAAACAAGAATTCCACCTCTGGGAGTCAGAACAGAATCAGCCTAGGATGCTGTTTCTGTAATTCCATCTCTGTGCTCATAGGACTCATACAGAGTTCCTCCTGCCCATACATTCTCTTCAGGAGCAGGGAAGAGGGCTCACACATCTTTATATTGCCAATACCTAGCACAAAGCACGTGGTGGGCATTGCACAAATACTTAGTGAGTGAATGTTTGACCTCATGGACTCCATTTCTGAAGATATAATTGTCTTTTAAATGTCTTAGTTTTTTATTTAAATCCATAATAATGCGTTTTTCATTTATTAAATTCTCACTATATGCCAGGAATCTTACTATAATAGATGCTTTAAACACATTATTTCTTTTAATTTTTTCATTTTCTTGTTGTGCACCATTCCTGGAGGTACTATATACCTCGTCGATGTATGGAATAGACGGAGCAAACTCCTATTCTCTTTCCCTGCTCCAAAGATACATTTAATATAATTCCTCGGATAGAGGATGAATCAGATATTAAACTGATAAGAACAGATACTGTGCTTGATCTTACCCAAAAGGCTGAGAAGTGATTCACATTATTTCTTATTATCCTACTAGTGGCCCGGTGCACAAAATTCATGCACGGGGGTGGAGGGGAGATGGTATTCCCTCAGCCTAGCCTACATCCTCTCCAATCAGGGACCCCTTGCGGGGGATGTCCAACTGCCAGTTTAGGCCCAATCCCTATGGAATTGGGCCTAAACCGGCAGTCAGACATCCCTCTCTCAATCTGGGACTGCTGGCTCCTAACCACTCATCTACCTGCCTGATCACCCCGAACTGCTTCTGTCTGCCTGCCTGATTGCCTCTAACCCCTTTGCCTGCCTGATCACCGCTAACCTCTCTACCTGCCTGCCTGATCACCTCTAACTTTCCTCCCCTCCTGGCCTGGTTGCCCCCAACTTTCCTCCTCTGCCAGTCTGATCTCGCCTAGTCTCTGTCTCTTTGTTTTTCTCAGCAGTCCTCCAGGCCTCCCTGCCTCCCTATGTACCTCTTCCTCTTTCCCAGCTGGGAGGGGATGGGGCTAGTGGGGGCCGCTTCACCCTCTGCCCACCCTCCCTTCCAACCAGACTTCTTCAGGCCCAGTCTGTTTTGTTTCCTTATTCTGAGAGAGGTTCCGAGAGCGAGCTGGGAGGGAGGGAAAGAAAGGGGAAAAAGGCTGTGAGCTGGTGGGCGCTGTCTGTGTCTGTGCGTGTATGTGGTTGTGAGTGAGTGTGAGTGCCAGCCCTGACTTCCCCATCTCCTCTGCCACAAGTCCCCACCCACTAGAGCCTGCTGCACACATAGCCTGGGCATTAGGTCAAGTCTCTGGACATTGCAGATGTGATGGACCCAGAATTTTTATATGTTAGTACTAGAGATCCAGTGTGTGATTGAATCATGCAAAGAGGTGCCCTGCCTCTTATCTTGCAAGAAGGCACCCCACAGGCCACCACAGGAGTCAGGCCAGACCAGCACCGTAAGAGTCAGGCCTGACTGGCACCATAGGTGGCAAGAACCCACACCTAACTTCTGCCCCAGGCCCTCCTGCCACCCTGCCTGTGTCTGCTGCAGGCTGTAAGAGCCACTGAGCTGGCCCAGGCAGGCCCCCCTATCTCTGTCTCCATCTCTGCTCCAGGCCTCACCTGCACACAACCTCCTCCTGTTTGGTTGTGACCTGTTTCAGTGTCCCAGGCTAATTTGATATTACCTTTTGATATATATAGATATAATGAAAGCCTAATACGCAAATTGTCCCCTTAGGAGTTCAACCACTCACTATGATGAGTGCTGACCACCAGGGAGCAGCGCAAAAAATAGCAGGCATCAGTGACCCAGCACTGGCAGCAGGCAGCAGTGGAGGGCCCTGATGAGAGCGGGACCACAGTGAGATGGTGGAGCAGGTGAGTGGGCAGCGCCAGGCCAAGGTGGGTGCAAGTGGGGGCCCAATCACCCTACAGACAGTGACCAGTAGCAGTAAGGGTGGGAGGACGGCCCAGATTGATCACCCCACAGATGGGATGGTGAAGTAGGTGAGGGGGTGGCACCAGGCCATGGCAGGGCTGTGGGGCTGCTAGGCTGGGGGCATGAGCTGGGGCACGATCCCCACAGGCCACTCCAAGGGATTCCATCTGTGCATGAATTTGTGCATCAGGCCTCTATTTTTAGGATAAGAGCCATTTTTATAGAACCTACAACAGTACCGGGTATATAGGAAATACTCAAAAAGTGGTTCTTGAATAAATATATGAAGGAAAGAAGGGAGAATCAGAGGCTCGGAGAGATGAAGGGACCTGCCTAAGGTCCTCTGGTTGTTAATGGAAAAGTAAAACAAATGTTCACAGATTCACTGCTAATCTAGAATTCTTCACAGTTTAATATTAAGACTGAATGATCTTGAAGGTTGCTTTCTGCTTGTGGTTCACTGAATAATGGTTTCCCAAGGATGTCAACTTCTGAATTCTGGTTTCTATGATCATGTTACTTTCTATGGTAAAAGGATATTTGCAGATGTGATGAGAAGTTATCCTGGATTATTCAGATAGGCCCAATTAAAAAACACACAAATGTTCTTATAAGTGGGAGTCAGAATAAGATTTGACTACAGAAAAGGAGTGTCAAGGTGATAGGGCATGAGAAAACCTCAACTGGACACTGCTGGCTTTGAAGATGGAGGAATAGGCAGCCTCGTGGAAACTGTAAGGAAACACACTCTTCAAGTCTCCTGCCAAATCCTTGAACTTAACCCAACAAAACTTACTTTAGACTTCTCAGTCCCAGAAATTTTAGATAATAAATTTGTGTTGTTTTAAGCTACTAAATTTGTCGTCACTTGTTATCATAGCAATAAGATACTAATAAATTGCTCTAATAGACTGAATAGGTCATTAGTGTAAAACAATGACTCTTTTGTCCCAGAGTTTTATACCACCGACTTCTTTGACTTATATTTATTGTTCAAATAACAATATACACTGGCCTCTTCTTTAAGAACCTTTAAGGCTCACCTTTGAGAAGATATCCTTTCGTTTGCCAGTTTCTATTATTGCTAGCAAAATAACTCTCATGCTGATATTTCCTTTATATGTAATTTGATTTTTCTCTCTGGTTATTTTTCAGATCTTTTTTCCCTGGTGTTCCACAATTTCATTATAAAAAACTGAGTCTAATTTAATCTGATTGGGATATTTTGTATTTCCTGAATTTGAGAATTTGTGTCTGTTGAGTCTAAAAATTCCCCAGCCGCTCTCTCTTTTCACATCTTTTCAGATCTCTCTACCTTGAATTATTATTAGACAGTTATATTCTATCATTTTGGTAATGGTCTCAGGAAAAGAGAACTACAGGCAATCCAGAAAAGCCCCTACAAGACTTAGAGATCCTATGTTCCCAAGCCCAATCTCTAGACTAGAGAATAAAGGTATCCACTATTAATGAAGTACTGATGTGTCAGTTTTTCAGTAGTTAGGGCTACATTTTTCAGTTAAATTAAATGAAAGGATCACCATTTAGTAATTCTCTACAAAATGTTTTTAGGATAAAAACAGTGTTGAATTCATTTTTTGTGCAATATTATATATAGATTAAAGAACATATACAAAATAGACATTAATGAAGTATAATTATAAAAATAATCAGGGTATCTACAATCCTGCTTAAAAAACAGAATGCTATCAGTAGTTACTTCCCCAATCTAAGTCTTAGAGAAATATTCATTCCTATAATATCCTTACCAAAAATAATTACCTCATTTTGTTTATAATTCCCTTTTAGAAAAGTGTGCATCCTCAAACAATATATTGTTCAGCTTTCTCCTGTTTATCTGTAAATGGAACCATTCTGTTTGCACTCTTCATTATCTTGCCTGTCTTGCAAAATATTGAGTCTGAATTTTATCAGATTTATGTATATATGCAGTTCATTTGTTTCGCTGTTTTTTACTATTCCATTGACTATTCCCATTTACTATTCCTATGTCTGTTCCACTTACTATTTACTATTTGTGGACTCGTATATAATGTGTATACCTTTACTTTTACAAATAACACTTTACACATAGTCTTGTACCTACCTCCTGGAGAAGTAAAAGAGTTTCTTGAGGTTTATAATTAAGAGTGGAATTGCTGAGTCCTAGGAAATTTATTTTAGTTATCTACTGTTATAGGATGTTGTTACCACAAAATGTAGCAACATAGAAAGACATGTTTATTATCTCACAGTTTCTTGGGTCAGAAATCCCAACACAGCTTAGCCAGATCCTCAGCATCAAGGGTCTTTGACCAAGCTGCAATCAGGATGTGAGCCAGGCTTGGGGTCTCATTGGACTGTTAATTGGGGAGAAGCTGCTTCCAAGTTCATGCAGTTTTTGGTGGCATTCAATTCTATGTGAGCTCCTGGACCAGCAGCTTCACTTCCTTACTTGCTTTCTACCCATAGCTGCTTGTTATTTGGACTTCGGCACTGAGTAACTGAGAATGTGGCAGCTTGTATCATCAAAGCCAGCAAGATAGAGCATCTGCTAGCAACATGGAAGTCAGAATTTTATGCAATCTATTCACAGGAGGGACATTCCATCACTTGTGCCATAGTTTACTGAAGCATGTCACAGACCTGCTTCAGGAGGGAACTTACATGGTGTAAACTCCAGGAGGTGGAGATCCGTGGGAATCAGCATAGAGTCCATTTACCCCATGTGTTTTAAATCATACAACATAATCCCAAATTGTTTTCCTAAGTGGTTGTATCAATTTATATCCCCACCTACAAGAATTGAAAGTGCTTGGTCTTTTACATCCTCATCAATATCTGTTACTGGGACACAGTTTTTTATTGCCTCTGTTAGATACAAAATATGTCATTTAGTTGTGATTTTTAACCTGCATTTCTCTGATTATTGGTGAGGTTTAACATCTCACATATTTTACAGTCATTCTTGTGTCCTATTCTGTGAAATTACACTTGAGTCTCTTGCTCTTTTTTCCTATTGTCTTGCCTTTACTCATTGAATTTTAGGAGTTATTTTATCATTTATTCACTTGGAATCTAATACCTTACCTATTTTATGTGTTAAAATGGACTTTCCTAATTTGTGGCTTTAGTTTTAATCAGGGAAGTTTTTTATTTTTAATGAAACTAAAATATATAACTCTATTCACGAGAGACTCTTATTAACAGATTCAGTTACAAGATGCATGAAAACTTTGCTAAATATATTTGTTATTGAGGCAGATGGTGTCATGAGTACAGTAACTATCCATTCATCTAGATTTTCTAAGTTCTCCTGTCTGTGACAAGAGAGCAAAATTCCTGGAGCATTTTATCTCTACTCTCTGGCAAAGCATCAAAACAGGAATGAAGAGACCTAGGTCCAAACTCCAGTTCTGATAGAAATTAGCTGAGATTTTAGAGAAGTCACTTACACTCCCAGGTTTCCAATTTCTTCCTTTGTAAAAATAAAAAATTGGGTTATAGGGTCCCAAAGTTCTTTCCAGCTCTAAAATTCTGTCAAAAATGCCTTCATAGGGAGACCCACTGCCCTTATCAAAAATCTA